TTATTATTTGTGAGCCAGCCAATACGGGGTTGACTATGACTCTTCTTAGGTTAGGATGGATTAGCAACAAGAACTGTGGTATCTTGAGTCTGACTCCAGCAGAATTGGGGTGCAATGTCTGTTGTCTGCTAACAATTCCAGAGACATGATTAAGGCCTACCCCATGCAAGGTATTGCTGGTTGTGCAGAAGTGATGAAGACCTCCCATCCCAATGCCTGAGAAACATCCCTGGTAGAGGAAGGATAAAACAAGTCCGCAAATGTCAGAGTAAGAATGGGAGAATACGGTGTGAGGGGGAGCTAAAAAGTGTCAGGGAAGCCTTGTGCTCTCTTTCCCTGCCAGGTCTGGGCATTAAGACATTCCCCAGGCATTTTCCATATGACCAGCCCAGAGCCAGCCTTATTTGGTTGTGGAATAGGCAGTAGTGTGATTTTAGGCAGGGCTCCCAGCCTCAAATAGCAGTTCCAATGTCTGTCATTCTATTATAACTTTGTTCTTCTAGGTCTTGAAAGCTTTCATCTTGATGGGTTCTTTTTGAACACAGATGTTTCTGTTAGGGTCCTAAGTCATGGTGAGCTGGTATCTTATTTATCTATCTATCTATCTATCTATCTATCTATCTATCTATCTATCTATTTGAGACAGGGACTGGCTCCATCATCACCCAGGCTGGAATGCAGTGGCATGATCTTGGCTCACTGCAGTCTGAACCTCCCAGGCTCAAGCAATCCTCCTACCTTAGTCAGCCTTTCGAGTAGCTGGAAAGTGTGGGAACACACCAACATGCCTGGCTAATTTTTTTGTATTTTTGGTAGAGATGGGGTTTCACCATGTTGCCCAAGGTGGTCTCAAACTGCTGAGCTCAAGCAATGCACTCAACTCAGCCTCCCAAAGTATTGGGATTACAGGCCTGAGCCACCATGCTCGGCCTGAGCTAGTATCTTAATATTTAGCTACATCTTTAGGGTGGAGAGGAGAAAACTAATTGACAGTCCAGTGAACACAAATCCTATCTGGGATGTGGGTTGGGATTGGCATTTGAGGGGAGTTGAAGAATGGGTTGAAGTGTAGCAACAGGAGAATAAGAGGGAACTAAAAATAAACTTCGCTTAGTTCATTCTTCTGTTAGGGGCTGGCTCAAGGGTACCCTTTGAGGTTTCCCAACAATAACAAAGGAATATTTGATGGCTTTAAATGGGATTAAATCAGCCTTTTTTGGTGGACTTAAAAATTAATGATAGCACTTCACACTGAAACACTTATGATTTTGCCTTCATGTAGCATTCCACTTTTAAGAATTTAATGTGACAAAATAACTATGAATGCACGCAGACTTGATTCATTCCTCACTCTTCAATTCAACAACTATTTATCAAGCATACACTACATGCCAGATACTGTTCTAGGCACCAGGATTATAGCAATAATCAATGGAAACAAAGTTCCTGACCTCATGGAGCTTACATTCTAGTTGGGGAAGACATCATAAACAAGGCATTATGTTACCAAATCTTACAGTCAGTTTCCAGTCCACATCTTATTAGACCTCTCAGTCTGTTACTTCTAGAAATACTTTCTTCATTTGGATTCTGGAACACCACATTCTCTTACCTTACTGCTTATCTGTCTCAGTACCCTTTGTTGGATCCTCATCTTCCTGACTTTAAACTGGTGAATCCCAGAATTAAGCCTTCAGATATTTCACACCTGTATGCTGATGATCCAATTTTCTATTTCCAGCTCTCATCACTCCCCTGAATTTCAGTCTTTTACATCCAACTGCCTATGTCACATCTCCATTTGGATGTCCAGTAGGTTTCCCAAACTGAATGGGACTACCAAAATCATACTGGATTTTCGATTCTAATTGCTCTTAGTTGAGTTTTTCCCTTCTCAGCTAATGGCAACTTCATTCTTCCAGTTACTCAGGAAAAACCTCGGAATCATTCTTGACTTCTTTCTTTCTCTCACACTGCACATCTGCTGCATCAGATTTAGCTACAAAGATGTCCATCACAGCATTGTTTATAAAAATGAAAAACTGGTAATTACCCAATTGTTCAACAATGGAAGAATGATTAATATGGTACATGTTGTAGTTAACAGGTTACTGTTTAAGGACATTTTCCTTATGGAAAATTTCAAATATGCTCAAAAATAAAGAGCTGTGAACCCATCATCTAGCTACAACAATGATCAACTCACAGTCATTCTTGCTTCATTTACACTCCCACTTCTCTCCTATCTCCCCACTAGATTGTTGTTAATCAAATTTCAAAAAACATATTATTTAATACATAAACTATATAACATATTATGTTACAAAAGCACATTATAAAGAAATACGTATAATACGATTTCATTTTTGAAAACCATCTACATGTGTAGGATAGCTATATCTGAACCATGTTATGAATGTTGGTATCTTCTTTTGCGTGTGTATATTTTCCACAGTGAGTATGTACATAGAGAAAAGGTGATGAGGAGATGGGGGATGTTGATGCCAGACATTCTAACTTCATTTTTTCGTAAATTTGATTACTTTAATTCAGACTGGGTGATATGGTTTGGATGTTTGTCTCCTCCAAATCTCATGTTGAAATGTGACCTCCAATGTTGGAGGTGGGGCCTAGTGGGAAATATTGGATCATGGGGGTGGATCCCTCACGAATGGCTTAGCACCATCTCCTCTTGGTGATAAGTGAGTTCTTGCTCTATTAGTTCATGGGAGATCTGGTTGTTTAAAAGAGGCTGGCAGCTCCTTCCTTTCTCTCTTGCTCCCATTCTCACCATGTGATGCACTGGCTCACCCTTTGCCTTCTGCCATGACTGTAAATTTCCTGAGGCCTCACCAAAAGTGGATGCTGGCACTATGCCTCATGTACAGCATGCAGAACCAAGAGCCAATTAAACCTCTTTTTGTTATAAGTTACTCAGCTTCAGTTATTTCTTTATAGTGACACAAAAAAAAGGACTAACACACCGGGTATGTCACACTGTGAGATATAAATCACCATTTGATGGAGGTGAGGATACTGTCGGCTCTGTTTTCTCTTTGGACAGTCTATAATTTAAAATGGCCACATTAGCATCTAGAGTTACAGCAGGTTTTCTCAGCTTCCGCTCTCCTGACATTCTGGGCTGGACAAGTATTTGTTGTGGAAGGCTATATTTTGCATTGAAGGATGTTTAGCCGTATCCCTGGTTAATAGGTAGCCATTAGATGCCAGTAGCGTCCCCTAGTGGTAATAACCAAAAACGTCTTCAGACATTGCCAAATGTCCCCTTTTCCCCAGGGGCAAAACCAACCCTGGTTGAGAATCACTGCACTACAGCAGGTGTCCAAGTTGAAATGCATGTTGTTTAGGGGATTGGAAATGTGCTGTTTCATGCATTTTCTTGGCTAAAACCTCTAGGAGGATGTAATTTGTGATCTGATGAAAGCTGCTATTGTGGTTTACTGACCTGCTTGTTTAATTAACCAACCTATGACACAGTGGTTAATGATTATCTGCATTTTTGAGACACATCCAGAAAGGACTGAGACAAGTTCAACTCTATAAGAAAAGCAAAGGTCGTGAATGAAAGCTTGCTTGTCAGCTACAACAGTGATCCATTAGATTTGCCTCTTCAGCCCACAGACTGACCCATTTTACTATTCATTATCATCCACAACACAGGAAAATACTGTGTGGAAGTTAAAAATAGATTTCTTCCAGAAAATTGATGCTACATACATATAAACAGTTCTTTTTTATTAGTAATAAACACACAGACACAAACACAACTGCAAAAGATAAAAGGCTATTTAAATATTCCATGTAATTTGAAATTTTTTCCATAATGAAAACATTTTATTAGAGAACTGTAGAAATGAGATAAAGGAAAATATGAGGTCATCCTGCCCATTCTCTTCCAGAACTACACTGTTTTGTATGCACCCCCACTCCATCCTCCACCCCCAGCCCAGAGTCTTATTAAATATCCCCATTTTAGTAATATAAAATACTGCTTATACTTCCCCCCACCCCCAGAGAGAAACTCAACAGAGGAGCAGAGGGTACATGCTAGTGGCACCATGATCTTTAAAAGATTACTTCTCTAGTTAGCGGCACTGTGTTGACTGCATAGAAAATAAAATTTCCAGTAAAGTCTACACCAGACATTACCAATCCAGGTTTATCAAGCACCCTACAAACTCTTATACATATTAACGGAGTTCGTTTCTTGATGCTTAATGGTTATTTTCTTGAAATTATTGGGTACTCTGAATTCCAGAGAATACTGTATAAATTATTTGTAAATTTCTTTATACTTTATCTTTGCCCACTTTGGAATCAATGCTTACCTTTTCTTTTTCATGACAACATCCAGGATTTTCTTTAATGGTAAATAAAAAAATAATTACTACGGAGACCCTTCTGTGAGCCAGGTATTATTTGGGCATGAAATATATAATATTTTATGTAACATTTATAATCCTGCCATATATATAGGTCTGTTTATTCATGGGAAAACGGAAACTCAGAGAGGTCCAGTACTTTGTTGAAAGTCTCACAGTGCTTGAATGGCAGGGTCCTGGTTCAAACACAGTTCAAGTAAATAGTCACAGGATGTGAGGCTGGCTCTCAGTTTGTGTAAGGAAAAACTCGTACTTGTTTAAATTTGTTAAAATAGAATCCATCTGCAATATCCCCTGGACTCATCTAAGAAAAAAGCAAAAGTCAACCCTAATGGAACGTTCAGGATCCTGAGGACCCGGTGTGGCCAGGGGGTGGACTAGATTGGGTGGAGATATTTTGTTAAATGTAGAGAAACAGCCCAACTGCTTTGTTCACTAGCAGGGAATAAATTGGGTCTTTCTTAAGCCAGGAAGAGAAGAGGATTTTAGAGACGAGGCCTCCCTACAGAAAATACCCAACATTCTAAAGGGCAGGGAGGTCGGGCTCCGTATTTGTTGTCTCTTGTCCATGCTGTAGGCTGTTACGGGGAAAGAGAATAGGTCCGCAGGAGCAGTCTCCCATGGAAGCATGGAAAATGAAAGAGTAAAGCAAGGAAAAAAAGAAAAGTGACCACAGCTTAAAAAATTCTAAACTCAAACTCAAACCTAAAACCCAAACGCACCCCAACTGGGTTGTGGGAAAGGATTCTACTAACAGTTGAAAATGGAACATCCACCACTGGACTTCAGGCTGTGAGAGTTCAGTCTGATTAATTAAGGTCAAGGTGGTGATGGAAATACCAGCTGGGGAGCATTTTGCCGAAAGATAAATTTGTCCCTCTGTGTTTCTGCGAGACAGCAGGGAGGTGTGTGTTTGGAGCTAAATTAATTTGATTTACATCATGCCATGGTAACTTCTGTTCTCTCCCCACCCCCACCCCCCACCCGCTGTCAGATGTCTTAGCTGGCTTTTTCCCTCTCCTTGTTCACCCCCACACATTTCATAACACGGAAAGAAAGTACGAATTGGCTTCAGGCAGAATTTAGATATAGAATAACTCTAATTTGATTATTCTGCATTGAGTGCTATTCTCTTCTCCCCAATCCCTTCTTTCTTGAGAGAGAGAGAGAAGTTGTAAACCCGGGCTTAAGTGCTATTTATTTTTATATTGTGCTTAACGGTACAAACTGCTTGACTGTTCCTTGTATGCTCACCTACCCTCCTCCTGTGTTTCTCCAACAACACTAATAACAGAAAATGAAGCTATGGCCCGGGATCCCGTTAGGAATGCGCTTTTTCTGGCCTGTATCTTTCAGCTCCGTCAGGCTTTGGAAGCCAGAGCGGAGGGCACCTCTTGAGGGACCCTGCACAACCGGGCCCTGGCACCTCCGGAGCGACGGAGAGGGCGCCCTGTTACCGCGCTCAGCCCACCACCCTTCCAGCGGCGGGGCGCGCTCGGCAGGACAGGATAAGGTTACGCCGAGGCTTCCTCGGTCGGGAGGGAGGGAGGCGGGTCTGAGCCCGCGCCCCGGCCCGCGGGGGAGTTCCCACAGTTGGCCGCTCCGGCCTGCGGGGCTACATCCCTGCTGCCGGTCAGGCGCGGCCCGCGGGACCCCAAGGGTAGCGCCATGGCCCGGGAGAGGCCTCCCGGGAGGGGCTGCGGCACCCTGCGCCGGTGTCTACTCGGGGCCGCGCTGTTGCTCGGCCTGCGGCTGTGCGCGGAGCTGCGGCGCGCCGGGCCCGGGTACCCAGCCCGCAGCGCTCTGCCGGGCCCGGCCTGGCGGCCACCTGGGCCGCACCTGCAGCCTGCGCCGGGCTCGCCGCGTGGCGCCAGCAGGAGGCAGGTGACCTACGTGCGCAGTGGGCGCCGGGCGCCGCCGGGGGGCGGCGGGAGCGGGACGCCGGAGCCTGGCTGCTGTGCCCCGCGCGGGCGCCCCCGCCGGAAGGTCAGTTGCAAAGCCGTTGGTCTTGGGCCTGGAACCAGAATCCCCCTCCCGACCCCGCTACGGAGCCCGGCGCTCGGGTACCGCAGGTCGCCCCGCGGGGACCTCCGGAGGCTTCCGCTTCTTCTCTTCCCCCTGTGCTCTCTTAGGCGGCTCCACGGGTCGCATCCTTCAGTGCCCAGATAGACTGAAGTGCGGCCGAGCGGAGTTCACTCACTATTCAGCCAGTACTTGTTGGGCGTCGCCGTGGCCGGGCGCCCTTCTAGGCTCCGCGCATCGCGCGAAGAAGGACGGAGCCCTATTCTCACGGAGGGTACATTTTAGTAGGGGAGGGTTTGCGTGATAGGCACAGAAAGGGAAAGGAAGGCGTTGCGGCTGCCATTCGTGTGCTGTGCTGCTCCCAGCCTTCTGCTCGAGGCCTGGACAGAGCTGAGTGGGTATCGCCGTGAATGGCCTATCCACGCCACTGCCGTCATCTCGCTGAAGATCCACCAGCTGGCCGAATTTCCCTGACCATTCCAGGCGTTGGCTGGGGGCTTGGAGGCTGGCGCCCGGTGAGAAGCCGAGCACCCAGCCCCACTTAATGAGAAGTTAATTGGATCCTCGAGGACCCAAGTAATAATCTGGGTTTGTCTTATAATTCTCGACCGTGTTGTGCCTCCTACCTCATTAACTTATTGGCTCACACCTACTTGATTAGTCCAGTTTTAGCCTCTGATTGTTAAGGTTTTGGGCTCATCTCCTTTTTGGAGCTCAGTAATTTGCGTCGTACATGGAAACGAAAAGAACCATAGGTATGAGCTCTCCTCATCCTTTTACCCATCAACTCCTGCTTCCAGCCTCGACCACGTTCTCCAAAGCAACTACTTTCCGTTGCCCGGCTATTCGTCCTTTCTTTTAGACATCCCCCCAGCCTCCACCCTGCTTCCCACCACCGGTCCTGGAGGGGAGGGAACAACTCTTCCTTTGCCTCGCTGCTGTCTTCGGCTGCCCAGTGCTAGCCTAGTTTTCAGCACCACAGCCCAGCACTGCTGCCGCGGCTTCCCTTCCTCGCTTCCTTCGGGCCTCGCCCTCCGTCTTTCCACACCACTGCTGTTCCTTGCTGGGCCATCAGTGCTAACTTCCTGGATAAACTGAAATACCTTTTTCTATCTCGCAAACCTCACCTCCTATGTAAAGTCTTAATGAGCTCTTCCAGAAGAAAGCAGCCACTTCCTCTCCAAGTTCCTAACTCACCGTCCGTGACACCATGTTAAACATTCAGCACAGTTTTGCTAAGGGCTTACCAGGTAGGCATCAGGTGCTGGAGGCACAAAACGAGTTCAGATTCTCGTGGAGGAGGCTCTTAGCACAGGCATCCGGTGATTTCCAAGCCTGTAATTGAGCCTTCAGCTCTGCCTGGGGAGTCAAGAAAGGCTGCTCAAGGCGGGGGACATTTGACCTACAATGTGATGTTTCTTTTATTTATTTATTTATTTTTTGAGCTGGAGTCTTGCTCTGTCGCCCAGGCTGGAGCTTGATCTTGGCTCACTGCAACCTCTGCCTCCCGGGCTCAAACGATTCTTCTGACTCAGTCTACCGGGTAGCTGGGATTACAGGCATGCACCACCACGCCGGCTAATTTTTGTATTTTTGGTAGAGATAGGGTTTCACCATGTTGGCCAGGCTGGTATCGAACTCCTAACCTCAAGTGACCCACCCGTCTCAACCCCCCAAAGTGTTGGGATTACAGGCGTGAGCCATGCCCCTAGCCAACAGTGTGATGTTTCTTAAGAGTGGGACTTCTTTTATTCCCCTGTGGATGTCCTCAAATGTCCCATCCTTGACACCCTCAACCCCGCCCTGAAGTTTTCCTTTTAGATTCACTCAGCATCTGTTGTTTCTGCTGTCACCTGTCAAAGAATTACTCTTAACTCTTTGTCTCTACCTCAGACAACAGTACTGATGGCTGGAGCCCGTCCTACAAAGGACAGGTTTGGAATGCGTAGACTCAGTGGGGCTCTGGAGGGGAGGTTCACACCCATCCTCGCTAGGAGCTTGGAGGCTGCCCCAGTGATTCAGGCTGGAGATGGGGGTGGCTTGCTGTGGTAGGTGTGGAGGAGGTGAGAAGTGGTTGGTTTCTGGATGTGTTTGGAAGGTGGATGAGGAGGAGCAGTTATTTCTCTCTTGTTTGTTTTGTTTGGGGGATAGATGGAAAGCAGGAATTAGGTTTTAGGCACGTTAAGTTTAAGATACCCTTCAGGCATACATGTGAAAATGTCAAATAGGCAGCCGGACGTGTAAGTCTAGAGCTTGGAGGAAATGTCCAGGCTGAAGGTGGTGATTTGAGAGTCATCCAAGTACAAGTGGCACTAAAACTGAGAGATTGTATGTGGTCATCTAGGAAGTGAGTGTGGCTAATAAAGAGAAGCAATCTGAGCCTGTGGCCTGGGGCTCAGTTTTATTAAAATTAAATTAGGGAAAAAGTAAAGGAAATGTTTAGCTTTGTGCCTGGTGTGTTTAGCTCTCAATAATGGTAGCTTTGCTTTCTACAGCCTGCCCCAGCTTTTTAGCCTCAGTCAGTCTCCAAATGTCATTCACTGTAACCTACAAAGGTGGCTTATGCTGACTCCTCTACCTGCAAGGCCCCATCCCCCTTTCTTATGACTCCTGACCTTTTCATCCTTGGACATTCCTCAAGTCAAGGTTCATAGCCCAGAAACCTTCCCATAGCAACCCTGCTTCATGTTGACCCCTCCCCCACTTGGAATGACAACAGAAAGAGTCTGATTTGTGCATTGCTTTGTACAAGTTGAGTCCTGATAATCCATTTTGGATGGAATGTTTTGTCTCCACAATTGTTCTTGATGGGAAGGATTGCATTTCCCATAGTGATCTCTAGTAAATGTTTACTCCTGAGACCCCAATATGTGAAAGTATAAGAATCTTACTATTTCAGCCTATTCAGTAACTGTAAATGTCTTTGGTTAAAAATTTATAAGAATAAATGAGCCTTTTGCTATTTCTAAAATATTAAGTTTTTAGCATCATAAGGTAAAAATTTTCTTAGATTTCCTTCTCCCTAGCTATTATTTTCAGGATATACATCTAACCTCCCCAAATCCCTAGATAGTGATGATCTTGAATTTGTTTTACTCTCCCATTATTTCACAGTTGAATTAAAATATTCCTTAAAACTATAGAAAGATCAGTTATCTAATCCATCCTCCCACTTCTGGGAACAGAGCTCAATAACCCCATGTCTCTCTAGGGACAAATCTTGTTTCTTTTCAGCCTCACATCAAGACAGCAGTGTAATATAAGCTGAATGTACCATTAAGTAATTGAATAAAATTAGGAAGCTATTTGTTAAACTCCTTGGATCATAGTGTATTTAGATTTTGTTTGTTGAGAATACAGATCAACAACACTCTTAGATTCTTGGTTACTTTGCCCCAGGCACCTCCCAGATTGATAAAGGAGAAAAAGTTCCATTCTATTTTGAGGACAACTTTCTGGGTAGATGAAAACCTGCATGAAATAATTGGGTTGCCAAGTATTTCTTGTTACTCTGCTTCCATACCAGGTGTTAGAGGCACCAAAATTCTGCCACTTTAATCATAGCTTATGCTCCTCTTAAAGAAAACAATCTACTATAAAAAAGAGTAGTGAAGTGCAGTCCTAATAGAATTCTTTCTTCCCTCATCCCCTTGTTCACGGAGCCATGCAAGAACTAGCTCTAAATATTTTCAGTTCTTTTGACATCAGGGGTTCTAATCTTTAAGCTTTGCGAAATGAGAGCTGATGACAGATGATGGATAAATACTGCCCTTTCTGATTATGCGCACCCTGGAACCTATATATTCTTGTGTATTACAGATTCTTCAAGCATTCTGTCGGGACTCTTCGTCTCCAAATTTCGCATACTATGCATGCATAAAAATATCACTGTGATTCTTTCATCTTCTCTCTGTTTTCTATCTGCATGTATTTCTGTTTGGGTTTTTTTCTTTCTTAAATGAAACAGACCTTTATTATGATTATGGATAAAGTTCTTTCTGAAGGGATTTATAGAGGACTAGATATGGTCTCCATGATTTATGCTTTTTAATGCAGCTCTTGGGTGGATGTTTTATCTCTTATAGGTTGGAAATCTAACTAAAAAACAGATGCAACATACAGGGCTCATTTGCAAAGGAGAGACACTCACTCAGTGGCCAAGCTTCCTGAAAAAATTTCATCTCTCTTATCGGATGTATTTTACTTGACATTTAATATGTTGGATAGAAAAGTGACTTCTGAGTCACAGAGCTCCAGAACCCAGCAATGTGCTGGCTTGGTTCGTTAGTTACAGATCTTTTGGAACCATGTGTCAGGGGGGGAAAAAAAAAAAGAACTGTTTCCTCGTCTCCTGAAAAACCATATGGCAAAATTTAGTTTTTCTTTCTCACTTCTTGTCATCCTCTTAATTTTCTAATTCTGTGATTATCATCAAGAAGAAAGAGGAAAAATGGCATAGGATGCCCCCTGATATATCCAACTGCCTTAGGAGTCCTTACGCTTTACAAAATACTTGAAGGTAGATTTGAATTGCTTGTGAAACATGGCCCAGCAGTAGTTTCCAGCTCTTTAGGTTTTTGTCTGTGTACCTACACTTCTGTTCTTCAGGGAGCAACATTAATCAGTCCTCTCACACTGTCCTTAGGAGGCAAAGCATTTTCATTTTAAACAAAGTCACTGAGGGTAATTGAATAAGCTCCAGCAATATGTGGGTGTGAAATAGCAGTAGCTTAGTTGCACAAAGAAAAGCAGGTTTTTATTACAACTTTGATGTGTCGTGGATGAAGAATAGAGGCCTGTACTTTTTCCAAACCCCGTAGTTCCTCAGAGAGCATTCTGTGGGCAAAGGAACTGCTAATGCAGGCTCGATTGTTTTTCAACCACTGGTGCTGGAGATTTTAGCTTTTTGTGTGTAATTTGTCCCAGTCCATTTTCTCCAAGGAAAAGAATGTCTTGTCAGTTTT